TCAGAATAAATCAGTGAGCCACCAGGAGTTTACCATTAAGCTACTATGAAGGAAGTGACCTCTTAAAAAACAAATGAAAATCTTCAACAAGTGAGTAAATGCAAGTACATCTACTCAACGACTATTAAAGGTGGTATTAGTAGAGAAGGAAATTAAATGTTGAGGTTAAAGGGCACCAAATAAAGAGGAAAAGCACTTTAATTTTTTTATATATTCCAAATTTTGTTTGTCGGTGTAAATTGTTTTGTTCTAAGACATTTCTAGTCCCTGCCTTCAGAAGTTTATGATCTATTAAGAGAGGCCAGATATGAACATGGGAAAAATTAAATAATAGTGAAGTAACATCTCTCCTCAGACCTCAAAGACCCTTAGGGATGAGAGATTAAAAGAACTGGTAGCTGCTGTTGGTGCTAGAGTTTAAGTACACAGTGGCTGAAACAGGTTTCATAGGCTGGCTCGGGCTGTTTATGACATTGTTTCAGTGAACAGGTTTTGAGAAAATTGCTCTGATACCACCCATTTGTCTGTTCATGGATTATTGGGGATTAAGGAGAAGGATTTCTGAGGACATATGCACCAGGCCCTTGGTGTTCCAGGCAGGTATCATCTGTTTTTCAGGAAGACACACTATTTCCTTTTTGGGGATGACAAAATATTTCTTGAAAGAGGCAAGAAGCACCTTAACTCCTAAATCAATCTTTAGTATTCTGTTTTCAAGACTTTTATTCCAGCCACCCTATCTGATCCAATTCTCATCTCACAGAAACTCCCCTTACATGTCCCCCTCTAATGAAAGTATTTTATTTTTTTTAATATACCTTTATTGATTTCAGAGGGAGAGGAAGAGAGAGAGAGAAACATCAATGATGAGATAGTCATTGATCGGCTGCCTCCTGCATGCCCCACACTGGGAATCGAGCCCACAACCCAGGGAATTAAACCATGATCTCCTGGATCATAGGTCGATGCTCAACTGCTGAACCACACCCAGCCGGGCTAATGAAAGTATTTTAAAAACTTGTTCCTCTTCTATAATTTCTGAAGACTATGTAGAAAATTATTTCTTTCCCCTCTTTAAAAGTAAATAAACCACATAGAGATACCACTTCACACTAACTAGGGTTGTGATACTCAAAAAGTCAGACAATAACAATTATTCGCAAGAATATGGAGAAGCCTGGCCAGTGTGGCCCAGTGGTTGAGCATTGACCTGTGATCCAGGACATCGAGGTTTGATTCCCAGTCAGGGCACACGCCCGGGTTGTAGGCTTGATTCCCAGTGGGGGGCGTGCAGGAGGCAAATAGTCGATAACTCTCTCATCATTGATGTTTCTCTCCCTTCCTCTCTCTGAAATCAATAAAGACATATTTTTTAAAAAATAAGAAAAAGTGGAAAATTGGAACCCTCGTGCATTGCTGATAGGAATGTAAAATGTGCAGCTACTGTGGAACAGAGCCTGAAAGTTCCTTAAAAGGTTAGACATAGAGTTACCCTATGGCCCAGCAGTTCTACTTTTAAGTATACACCTTTAGTTCAAGAGGTTCCAAGACTACCCTCAGGTTCACTAATTCACTAGAACTCAGAAGAGCCATTATACTCATGGTTACAGTCTATTAGAGTGAAAGGATACAAATTAAAATCAAAGGGAAGAGGCACATAGGGCAGGGTGCAGGAGAGACCAGGCATGGACCTTCCAGTTGTCCTCTCCAAGTGGAATCTTGTGGACAGTGCTTATTTCTCCTAGCAATGATGTGCAATAATACACCCAGAGTATATTGACAACCAGGGAAGCTCACCCAAGCTTTGGTGTTCAGAGATTAGCAGTTGGCCGAGTAGACATGACTGACCATCCACATGGTCCCTCCAGAGGTCAGGCTGATACCATGTAGCCCAATGCCACCACCAGAGATTCTGTTGTTAGCTTAGACTATCTGACATGGCTCAAAGCCCCTAGGTAAATAAAGGCACTCTTATCAGGCAAGACACTCCAAGGTCTTAGACATTACCTCTCAGGAGCTGGGGGCAAGGGATCAAATCTTTGGGCAAGGTTAATTCTTTACTGCACATTGCCAGAGAGAAATGAAAAAGTATGCTCACACAAAAACTTGTACACAAATGTTCATAGCAGCATTATTTCAAGATAGCCAAAAAGTGCAAACAACCCAAATGACCATCAACTGATGAATGAATAAACAAATGTGCTATATCCCTACAATGGAATATTATTTGGTCATAGTTTAAAAAGAATGAAATTCTGATACATGCTACAACGTGGATAAACCTTGAAAACATGCTAAGTGAAAGAAGCCAGACACAAATGGCCACATAGCATACAATTCCACTTATAAGAAATTCCAGAATAGACTTACCTATAGAAACTCAAAGTAGATTAGTGGTCGTGTTGGGCTGGGGTTGGGAACAGGAAGTGACTGCATATAGGCACAAGATTTATTTTGGAGAGTTTTTAAATGTACTGGAATTACATAGTGGCAATGATTGCACAACTCTGTAAATATACTACAAACCGTTGAAAGGTATGCTTAAAACTGGAGAGTTTTATGATGTCAATTATATCTCAATAAAGCTGTTTTTTAAATGGACATAATATCTCCCCTATCATTCAAAGTGGTTACAGTAGAAATAAATGAGATATCTGCAAAGGAACTTTGTTTAATAGAATGTGTCAAATACATGTTTTTGGGAAAAAGTTAAGTAGGTTTTTGACTGGCATCAAAACTTGATTGTCATTTCTCATTTGCCAGCACAATATATAGACCTCCAGCTATAAATATCATAAAATGACCTTTTTTTTTCAATTAGATGGATTTTATGGTAGAGTTTCTTAAAGACATTTTGTTTTTTATTTTTAATCCTCACCCAAGGATATGTTTATTGGTTTGTTTTTTTTAGAGAGAGAGAGAGATGGCAAGAGAGCGAGAGAGAGAAACATTGATGGGTTGCCTCCCACACACACTCCAACCAGGGATTGAACCTGGAACCTAGGTATGTGCCCTGACTGGAAATCCCACTGGCAACCTTCTGGTGCCTAGGACAATGCTCATCCAACTGCACCACACTGACCGTGCCTACGCCTTGTTTTTTAAATGACTAACTAGTTTCTTAGCCAAGTAATGACAAAAGGTACCCAGAAAAACATACATTTACGCTTTCATCATCCTCATTTTCATGTGACTTTTCAAATACATAAAAATTTTAAGGGTACAGATTTCAAGGTAATGTAACAGACTTTTCCAACAGAGCTGTCCAACACTGGGTGGGTTGTCTTGGAAATGAAGTAAGTGGCTAGATTACTACTTAACTGAAAAGCGGGAGAAGTTTGGAGGGGGGCAGTGGAGGTAGAAAGCATGTACTGTAAAGAAACTACAAGCAGTAATAAATGTGATGCTGGACGAGATGATCTTAGAATTGTATTCCCTCCCTGGGATTCTTTATCCTATGAAATTAGTTTAAATGGAATCTTCCCCATTAAAGCTTTGATAGTTGCCAGAATTCTCTTAGGTGTTGAATTTTTCAGTCTACTAAAGCAGAGGAGTGCAGCAATCATGGGCCAGATTCTCCCCCCTCTGCCTCCTTATGAATCTTCAGTGTGTGCTATACAGCGACACTTAACAAATGTGTTGCATCTGTGAATGGCAAAATATTATAAACAGAATTTCAGATTGTCTGTAACCATACTGTCCAATAGAACTTTCTGCAGTGATGGGAATCTGTGCTGCCCAGTATGATTGGAATGTGGCTAGCATGACTAAGGAATTGAATTTTTAATTGTGTATAATTTTAATTAAATTCAAATAGCTATTTTTGGCTAGTTGGATGCCACGTTGGGCAGCACAGCTCTACAAGAACAATTTCAGAAAGTTAGGTTACTTGGATATTGGAGTCCCTGTGGCCTTTTTAGAACTAGTAGATGCTCTGACAATAATACTGACTTTTGTGTGTGTTTTTCTTTCATTTGTTCAGAAGCTTTTTTTTTTTTTTTTTTTTTTTCCTCACCTGAGGATATTTTTTCCATTGCTTTTCAA